CCATCAAAAGACTACCAACTAAGAAAAGCCCAGGTCCCGATGGGTATACAGCAGAATTTTACAAAACCTTTAAAGAAGAACTAATACCAATACTTTTCAAGCTACTTCAGGAAATAGAAAAGGAGGAAGAACTTCCAAATTCATTCTATGAGGCCAACATCACCCTGATACCTAAACCAGACAAAGACACTTCAAAGAAAGAAAACTACAGACCAATATCTCTAATGAACCTAGATGCAAAAATCCTCAATAAAATTCTGGCAAATCGGATACAAAAACATATCAAAAAAATTGTACACCATGATCAAGTAGGATTCATCCCTGGGATGCAAGGCTGGTTCAATATACGGAAATCAATAAATGTTATTCACCACATCAATAGACTTAAAAATAAGAACCATATGATCATCTCGATAGATGCGGAAAAAGCATTAGACAAAGTACAGCATCCCTTTATGTTCAAAACTCTAGAAAAACTAGGGATAACAGGAACATACCTCAATATTGTAAAAGCAATCTATGCTAAGCCTCAGGCTAGCATCATTCTGAATGGAGAAAAACTGAAGGCATTCCCTCTAAAATCTGGAACAAGACAGGGATGCCCTCTCTCTCCACTTCTGTTCAACATAGTTCTCGAAACACTGGCCAGAGCAATTACACAGACGAAAGAAATTAAAGGCATAAAATTAGGAAAAGAAGAACTTAAATTATCACTATTTGCAGATGATATGATTCTATACCTAGCAGACCCAAAAGGCTCTACAAAGAAACTATTAGAGCTAATAAATGAATTCAGCAAAGTGGCAGGATTTAAAATCAACACGCATAAATCAAAGGCATTCCTGTATATTAGCGACAAATCCTCTGAAATGGAAATGAGGACAACCACTCCATTCAAAATATCTTCAAAAAAAAATAAAATACTTGGGAATCAACCTAACAAAAGAGGTGAAAGACTTATACAATGAAAACTACAGAACCCTAAAGAGAGAAATAGAAGAAGATCTGAGAAGATGGAAAAATATACCCTGTTCATGGATAGGCAGAACTAACATCATCAAAATGGCGATATTACCAAAAGTTCTCTATAGGTTTAATGCAATGCCAATCAAAATCCCAATGGCATTTCTTGTAGAAATAGAGAAAGCAATCATGAAATTCATATGGAAAAATAAAAGACCCAGAATAGCAAAAACAATGCTAAGCAGGAAGTGTGAATCAGGCGGTATAGCGATACCAGACTTCAAACTATACTACAGAGCAATAGTAACAAAAACAGCATGGTACTGGTACCAAAACAGGCGGGTGGACCAATGGTACAGAATAGAGGACACAGAAACCAATCCACAAAAATACAACTACCTTATATTTGATAAAGGGGCTAAAAGCATGCAATGGAGGAAGGATAGCATCTTCAACAAATGGTGCTGGGAAAACTGGAAATCCATATGCAACAAAATGAACTGAATCCCTTTCTCTCGCCATGCACAAAAGTGAATTCAAAATGGATCAAGGAGCTTGATATCAAATCAGAGACGCGCCGTCTGATAGAAGAAAAAGTTGGCTACGATCTACAGTCGGTGGGGTCGGGCTCCAAATTCCTCAATAGGACACCCATAGCACAAAAGTTAATAACTAGAATCAACAAATGGGACTTACTCAAACTAAGAAGTTTTTTCTCAGCAAAAGAAACAATAAGAGAGGTAAATAGGGAGCCTACACCCTGGGAACAAATCTTTACTCCTCACACTTCAGATAGAGCCCTAATATCCAGAGTATACAAAGAACTCAAAAAATTAGACAATAAGAGAACAAACAACCCAATCAACAAATGGGCCAAGGACCTGAACAGACACTTCTCAGAGGAGGACATACAGTCAATCAACAAGTACATGAAAAAATGCTCAACATCTCTAGCTGTCAGAGAAATGCAAATCAAAACCACCCTAAGATACCATCTCACTCCAGTAAGATTGGCAGCCATTAGGAAGTCAAACAACAAGTGCTGGCGAGGATGTGGGGAAAAGGGTACACTTGTACATTGCTGGTGGGACTGCAGATTGGTGCAGCCAATTTGGAAAGTAGTATGGAGATTTCTTGGAAAGCTGGGAATGGAGCCACCATTTGACCCAGCTATTCCCCTTCTTGGTCTATTCCCTAAAGACCTAAAAAGAGCATGCTACAGGGACACTGCTACATCGATGTTCATAGCAGCACAGTTCACAATAGCAAGACTGTGGAACCAACCTAGATGCCCTTCAATAGATGAATGGATAAAAAAATGTGGCATTTATACACAATGGAGTATTACTCTGCATTAAAAAATGACAAAATCATAGAATTTACAGGGAAATGGATGGCATTAGAGCAGATTATGCTAAGTGAAGCTAGCCAATCCCTAAAAAACAAATGCCAAATGTCTTCTTTGATATAAGGAAAGTAACTAAGAACAGAGTAGGGACGAAGAGCAGGAGAAGAAGATTAACATTTAACAGGGATGAGAGGTGGGAGGGAAAGGGAGAGAGAAGGGAAATTGCACAGTAATGGAAGGAGACCCTCAGGGTTATACAGTGGAGGGGGTAGAGAGAGGAGGGGAGGGGAGGGGAGAGGTGGGGAGGGGGGAGGGTGGAGGATGGGAAAGGCAGCGGAGCACAACAGACACTAGTATGGCAATTTGTAAATCAATGGTTGTGTAACTGATGTGATTCTGCAATCTGTGTATGGGGTGAAGGTGGGAGTTCATAACCCACTTGAATCAAAGTGTGGAATATGATATGTCAAGAAATTTGTAATGTTTTGAACAACCCACAATAAAAAAAAAAAAAAGTTGGATAAAAGTAAAGGGGCTTATTTCCCTGAAAAAAAAAATAAAAATTAAAACAAAAACAAAAACAAAAAAAACTAATACATAAATTTAGTAAAGCTGAAGGATAAAAAATCAATGTATAGAATTTGTGAGTGTTTCTATACACTAACAATTAACTATCCAAAAATGAAATTTTAAAAATCTTATTTACAATAGCATCGATAAGAATAAAATCCTTAGGATTGAATTTAATCAAGGGCGTAAAAGACCTGTATGCTGAAAGTTATAAAACATGGATGAAAGAAATTAAAGATGACACAAATACATGGAAGAACTTCATGTTCATGGATTTGAAGAATTCATATTGTAAAATGTCCATACTACTCCAATACTGTACAGATTCAATGTAATCCCTATTAAAACTCCAACTGTATTTTTTTTATAGATAGGCAGAAAATTCTAAAATTTGTTTGGAAACATTAAAAAAATATGAATAGCTAAAGGCATTCTAAGCAAAAATAACTGAGCTGGAGGCATCACCCTTCCTGGTTTCAATTATCCTACAAAGCTATAGTAATTAAAACAGACTCACAGGTCAATGGTAGAGGAATAAGAGCTGAAAATAAACCTATAGATACACAGTTAACTAATGTTTAACAAAGTGCCACTAATACATACTGGGAGAAATGTGGTCTCTTGAAATATATAGTGTTGAGGAAATTGGATATACATATTCAAAAGAACAAGGCTAGATCCTTATCTTAAATCATGCACAAAAAATCAATTTGTAATGTAATAAATACTTAAACATTTGACTTAACATGATAAAGCCCCTAAAAGAAAAAAATAGGAGAAATGCTCTTTGTTATCAGTCTGGTCAATGTTTCTTTGTTTTTTGTTTTTGTTTTTTGATTTGACACCAAAAACACAAGTAACAAGAGCAAAACTAAGTGACTACATCAAACTAGAAAGTTTCTATAAGGCAGAGACAACAAACAAAATGAAAAGTAAGTTAGAAACTGGAGAAAATATTTGCAAACCATTTATTTGTCAAGGGGTTAACAGCTAAAATACCAAAGAAAGTAATGAAACTCAGTAGCAATAAATAAACAAAAAAATAAATAAACCCTGGATAACAGATTGATAAAGAAGGAGGACTTTATCAAGTCCTATAAAGAGGGAAATATTAGCTCAGTAGTAGAGCACATGCCTAGCATGCTTGAAGCCCTGAGTTCAATCTCTAGTACTGGGGGGGAATAAATACATTTTACCTGATTTTATTTAAATTTGTGATTGTTGCATAAGGGGAACACAGTTGGTGAGGAAGGCAACAAACAGATTCATTAAGGACTGCGGAGTTCTAGAAGAGTTTACAGCATTATAGATCAGAGAAATATTATTGGAAAGCATGTTAAGTCCAATACCAAGACTTGTAGATGGATTGGAATCAGGACAAGAGAAATTATATACCTTTTTCATATTTTTAATTACCAATCTGGTTATTTTGTGGAATGAGTTATAACATATATTCACTATCACTTTTCCCCCCCAAGTGCTAGGGATCAAATCCAGGGCTTCAAGCAAGCTAGGCAAGAGTTCTACCACTGAGCTATACCTCCAGCCCCTCTACCATTTTCATTATTTTTCTTTATCATCAAGGAAAACCTATTTCAATCACTGTATCTTATTTAGATGGATAAATGAACAAATATAAGTTGATACATGTAAAGATGGAACTTTTAATACATTCATTTGAGAAGTGAATGGAATTTTGATTTTTGCTTGCCTTTATTCTGTGCATACTGTTTAATAGTCCCACTTTGATTTATATTATTTATTGTAAAATATAAATCAGAATGGGATACAGCATAATGCCATTTTACCTTCTTTTTAAGAAATATTTTTGTTGATGGACCTTTATTTATTTATTTTATTTATTTGTATGTGGTGCTGAGAATTGAACCCATTGCTTCATACATGCTAGGTAAGCGCTCTTCTACTGAGCTAAAACCCCTGCCCTTTACCTTTATTTTACAGGAAGAAATGAAATTATGAGTACTATTGAAATGTAGGAACCCAAATTTCCAAAATTTCCATGTACAACAAAAAAGCATAAATTAAAAAAAATTTGCAGACTTCATTAATGGTTGAAAACATATTATTCTCAGAATCAAAGAATGAAAGTTTGTGAAACTTCAGGGTATCACCTTTATTGATTAATTTCAAAGTACAAATATAAATTCACATTTTAAGTACAAAATTATCTAAATTTCACCTTTATTCAGTCTCAATTTTGCAATGATTTAGACAATTCAACCATACATACATGTTTACATAGTATCTCCCATACACCAAGTTGTCAGAAACAATGGAACAATACTTCAGTGTTCTTGTTTATGATGTCTTCAATGCTCTCTACCAGTCACTTCTAACTTCAAAAGTTAATTTTAGCATGATCAATCATGGACCCAGAAAATATTCCTCAGACTCCCAAATACAGACTGGGTTGTCTCAGCAAGCTATGTTTACCATATAAAGTATCTTCTATTTCTGGTAGTGAGAATTACCTAGCAATTAAATAAGGATAAGACATGTGAGCCAAAAACAAGGTTCAACTAAGGCCTAGAACCACTTTTGGAACACAGGTAATTTTTTCTAACAACCAGACTTTTGTTTGTTTCTGAATTCTCTGTATCACGTGTCCATGTTATCTTTGTAGTTCAGTGGCTTCTGCTGTGTGCCTTAGGTTTAATTTACTCTTCTTTTTCTAGTTTAACACACAAGCATAAGCTATTGAATTTAGTTTTCCTTCCTAATGTTATTTCCCTTCAAGCGTTACTGATTTCATCCTACAAATTTTATGTTGCATTTTCATTTTGTTTAGTTACACATTTCTTATTTCTCTTGAATCATCCTCCTTGATTTATGGATTATTTGTGTTTAATGTCTAAACATTTGGAGATGTTAACACAGTATTGATTACCAGTTTAATTCAAGGCCTAAGTATATATTCTGCATGATTCTAGTTATTTAAATCTAATCAGATTTGTTTTATGACTGAATATATGGTCTATCTTGTAAATATTCCATATGCATTTGAAAAGAGTACTAATTTGTTGGTGTTGGAATATTCCACAGATGTAAATTATATCTAGCTGTTTGATGATATTTGAATTATTTTATATCTTTGCTGATCATCTGTCCACAAGTTATACTGACTATCAAAAGAAGTATTGAAGTACTTAGCTTTAGTCATTGATCTTTTTCTTTCAGATCTGTGAATTTTTCTTTGAGTATTTTGAAGCTGCTTTTAGTTGTGTACACATTTAAATAGTTTTGTTTTTGGTGCCTATATTCTTTTATTATTGTGTTTTTGCTTTATTTCCCCAAATATTCCATGTTCTGAAATATTATTTGTCTGATATTAATATTCTTTTGATAGTAGATATTTTATCCAACTTTTTACATTATTATATCATATTTGACATGACTTACTTGTAGACAGCATAAACAAGTAAGAATGTTTGGGTAATGTTTTAAAATTTTAAATTTGTTTTAATTAGTTATACATGACAGTAGAATACATTTTGACACATCATACATAAATGGAGTATAACTTCTCATTCTTCTAGTTGTACATAATGTAGAGTTACACAGGTTATGTAATCATATATGCACATAGGGTAATAATATCTGTCTCATTCTACTGTCATTCCTACCTCCATACCCCCTACCCTCCCTTCATTCCCCTCTAATACAAAGTACCTCTATTCCCCCCACCTTTATTGTGAATTAGCACCTGCGATCAGAGAAAACATTCAGCCCTTGGTTCTTTGGGACTGGCATATTTCACTTAGCATAATATTCTCTGGTTCCATCCATTTACCAGCAAGTTCCATAATTTCATTCTTTAAGGCTGAGTAATATTCCATCGTGTGTATATACCACAATTTCTTTATCCATTCCTCTGTTGAAGGGCACCTAAGTTGGTTCCATAGTTTAGCTATTGTGAATTGAGTGGTTCCCTCACCGTACTATGCTTATTTTAAGTTTTTTTGGTATATATACCAAGAAGTGGGATAACTGGGCCAAATGAAAGTTCTATTCCAAGTTTTCTGAGAAATCTCCATAATGCTTTCCATAATGATTGCACCAATTTGCGGTCCCATCAGCAATGTAAGAGTGTACCTTTTCCCCACATCCTTGCCAACATTTATTGTTGCTTGTGTTCTTGATAATTGCCATTCTGACTGGAGAGAGATGAAATCTTAGAGTAGTTTTGATTTGCATTTCTCTAATTGCTAGAGATGTTGAGATGTTGAACATTTTTTCACATATTTGTTGATCAATTGGGTTAAAAAGAAAAAGCATTATCCAGAAAAACAATCTTTTCATTGATATGTTTAAATTAATTAATAAATTATTAGTATGTTTGGATTTATTATTTTATGTTTTTATTCAGGTTTACTATTTAATTTTCTTTTATTTTCAATTTATCATTTCCCCTTTTTTTTCCTTTTTTGGATCAGGTGAGCATATTTTAAAAATTTGAATTTAAATTTTTAGTTTTTTCTATATTTCTTTGTATAGCTTCCTTTTTGTGGGTTCTTCAGATGCTATAATAAATATACTTTTCAAAGTGTATATAGAAAAAATATTTTTCCAGTACATTATATAGAAAGCACAATATTGGACCTTTTACTTTCCCTGTTTATTTTCAGTTGTCTTTTTTTAAAAAAATATTTTTTCAAGTTGTGATGGATACAATAACTTTATTTTTATGTGGTGCTGAGGGTTGAGCCCAGTGCCTCACAGGAGTGAGGCAAGCGCTCCACCACTGAGCTACAACCCCAGCCCTATTTTCAGTTGTCTTATTGGTCACATTTACATACACTGAAGTCCCATACCACAATGTTTTCAACTGTCAAACACATTTTAAGAATACAAGAAGTTAGCAGCATGTAGTATTGCATACCTACAATCCCAGAGAATGGTGAGGCGGAGGGATCACAAATTCAAGGCCTACCTGGGTGACATAGATCCTGCATAAATATAAAAAATAAAAAGGGCTGAGGATGTAGGTCGGTGGTAGAACTCCCTGGGTTCAATCCCCAGTTTCAATCCCCTGGGTGGGGGGATAGAATACCAAATGTTCTTTACCTTCTGGTGCTTTTTCTTTTTAAAGAACTTCCTTTAGCAATTAGTTTAGAGCAGGTTTGAAAGCAATGAATGCTCTTGGATTTTCTTAATTTCATCTTAATTCCTGAAGGATTTTTTTATTGGATATAGAATTCTGAGTTGACAGTTAAAAAAATTTAAAATGGTGTGTCACTTCCTTCTGGCCTCAACAATTTCTGATAAATCAAGTAATTTGAATCAGTGTTCCCTTAAAACTAATATGTCATTTTTATGTCACTGCTTTCAAGTTGACCACCTAAATAAAATCTATAATCTATGCTCTTAACCATAAGTGGAGAGTTTTTTGCTACAATTATTTCAAATCCTTTTCATGTACTGCGCCTTTTCTCCTTTTCTTCTGGGACTCTGCATAAATGTAGACTTGTCTCCTAAGTCCCTAAGAATCTGCTCATCCTTTTTTTCCCCCTGATATTCAGATTAAATGATTTCTAATTTATCTTCAAGTTCAAGGAGTCCTTCCTCTGTCATTTCTATTCTGCATTTGAACTCATGCAGTGAGGCTTATTCCAAGTATATTTTTTCAGTTCTAAACTTTTCATTCATTTCTTCTAGTTTTATGCTGACTTTTTACCTCTCCATATGTTTACACTTTGAGCATTTTTATAATACCTGTTTTAAAGTCTTTGTCAGATATTTCTAAGATCTGTGTTACCCTGACATTGCCTTTTCTTTGCCTATGTCATTTTTCCCCTCTGATTTTTGTATACTTAGATATTTTGGATTTTCTTCTTGATCTCTGGAATATTATTTTGAGTCTAAATCTTGTTTAAATTCTATAGAGATGTTGATGATTTTAGTAGGAGTTCAACCTGGTTGGGTTTAGGCCTAAAGTTACAAGTCTTGTTAAGGATTTGTTTCAATTTTATGCTTTCAAACTTTTGCATTTTTGTTCCTATCTAGCCCATATGTATGCCGCCCAGGGGGCCAATCTTGAACTTGAGTCATAGTCTATTTTGTAGCTTAGTTTTCAAAGTTTGAGACACAGGTTTATATTGAGGATCTCCCCTTTCTGATCCTCTGGCAAGAAAGTTGGCATTTTGTGTACTCTACTCTGCTGCATGTTTCCTGAGAAAGAATTCTCATGTCTGGGGCCAAGCAGTGTATAGAGTGAACAAAAGCATAACTATGTTTGTAATTAAGAAAATATTTTTAGTTATAGTTGTTACTTATTATCACATAACTTAAAAAATATGTACAAACTGAATTATAAATGTTTCCACATTCTACTATACATATTTCAAGACCATCAACACTAGTTATCATTTATCTCAAAATAAGATTCATGGGGAAACCTGGAAATCTAAGCCAGATCCTTGGGGACAATCTGAAGCTTCACAATCCGTCAATCTCTTGCCACCCATTTAAAGAAAAGGAAGGAAAATGACTGTACAGAGCAAAGACTTGCCTATGAATCTTATGGGGAAGGGGGAAAGGGGGTTTCAAAGAATTACTTTCAAGCCATTGGTACCTAATGTTTCATTTTTAATAATTATTTAATAAGTAATTTCAAATTACCCTATTACATTTTAGGTTAGTCTTTAGCTGTTTTGAGAAATCATATAGAGATTAAGAACACATAAATTTGGTGCCAGATCTTCTAGACTATAAACCCAGGTTTTCCAATATGTTTGCAGCATGAACTTAAGCATGTTACTTAACCTATCTTGCCTCATTTTCAATATTAAGAGTTCAGCAAAGTTTTTGTGCAAAAGATCTGTACAGTAAACATTTTAGGCTTTATGGGCCATACACACTCTCTGATGCTCCTTCTCCTTTTTTTTAATACAATCCTTTACACATATGAAATCATGATTAGCTCAAAGACCATGCAAAAAATAGGTTAACAGTTTGCTGACTCCTGATCCATATAAGAGAGATAATAAGAGCATTTACCTTAACAGGATTGATATGATGATTAAATAAATTAATTGAATTAATATATGTAAGGTGTTTACAAAGTACAAATAGTAAAAATTATAAAGATATTTATCATTATTATATTTCTAAAAAAATTTATTTTAAGATAACTACTATTCCTGGATACCTTCTCATATTGCTTGGTGACTTGAAATTTGAAGAAGGAATTTGTCTTTTCTGATTTATTCCAAATGCCAGAAAGCTTGACATTCTATATTGATGAAGCCCCTAAATGTGGCATTAAAACTAAGTGATCAAAACAAAGTAATGATTCTGAAGTAACCCTTACAAACCTGAGCAGAAACATCCATACTAAGAAAGATTCACTGTAAAAATGCAATAACTATATTACCTAAAACATCCAATTAAACACAGAATAATTTCTCAGTCATTACTGTATTGCTCTCCAGCCAAAGTATACACACCTATTCATTTAGGTGAATTTCTAGAATGAGTCATTTATTTTTTAAAACTCAGAAATGAGAGAATAATCAGAAAACAGAAAATATGCACAATGTCAACTGATGAATTTGCCTTAAGTATTAAAACAGACTGAATGTTTGTATTCTTCCAAATTTCCTATTTTGAAATCCCAACCTCAAATGTGATATTAGGAGGTAAGGCCTTTGGGAGGTAATTAGGTTATAGGGTGGAGTCACATAAGGATATAATAGAGTTAATGCCCTGATAAAAGGGACCCAAAGAGTTCTCTTGCCTTTTTCCACCACATGAGAAGAACTCTGTAATGGGAAGAGGGCTCTCACCAAGACTTTATAATGTTGGCACTCTGATCTCAGACTCCCAGCCTTCAGAATAGTGGGAAGTAAAATTTTCCCACTTTATCAGCCACCAAGTCCATGGTACTTTGTTATAGTAGCTGAAACTAAAGACAAGTATTCTCAAGGATAACTGCATATAACACAACACTTGTGTGCCAAAATCTTAAGGGAGAAAAAAACCTTAAAGTAATTAGAAGATAATCCATTATTTTTAGTAGACAGTTTCTAAATAGAAAACAAATATATAAAACTCAGCCCTTTTGTTATTCATAAAACACAGGCTTAGTAAGGCCACATACAAATATTTAAACGTAAAACATTAAATATAAGGTTTGAACATTTTACAAGGTGTTATATTCAAATGCAGAGCTTAATGAACTAAACTTTATAATACAGTGGTGTCCAAACATGAAAATAAAACACTTGTTTCAGTTTTTGTAAGGTATGTTTTAGTTATATGCTAAATAGAAATGCAATAATTTTGGTTTGTACACACATCTGTATTGTTACTCAACTTACTTCTACAGAATTTCTACACAAAAATGTAGATCAGGGATAGATATCTGTAAACTATAACCTAGATTTTGGAGATCATAGAAATAAGAGTCAGTACTTTTCCTCCTTCTGAAAAAACATACATAACAGTTTCAGTTAACATAGCTTGTAGAGAATTTACTTAGCATCAAAATAGCTTTGAGAATTATTTTTATCAAAGTCATTTATGCTCAGAGTTTAAAATATAAATAGTATTAATAGCCTTAAAACAAAAAGGAAAAAAGTGAGGGTTGGGGAAATAGCTCAGTTGGTACAGTGCTTGCCTAGCATGCACAAAGCCCTGGGTTCGATCCCCAGCACCACCAAACAAACAAAAGAAAAAAGTGAAAAACAGACAGTAGTCCCTGGCCTCTGACTTTCATAGTATGGCTCCATCCTGGTCTTCTCAGACATTTTAGTCATTTTGGGGGGCAGATAAATCTGTACTCCTAATACCTATACTAATTCTCTTGACTCATCCCTCTTAAACAGATTGTGGGGTACTGAATTTCAGTAACACCATTTACTAGCTGTGACCTGCAGCAAGTTACATAACCACTTTAAGTTCTAGTTTCCTAATCCATATAACAAATAACAGAACTTAACCACATAACGTTATTGTGAGGATTAAATAGTGCAAAATTCTGAATGTGTAATAATATCTGATTCATGATTTTGTATTCCTATAGTGATAATTATTACTGTTGTTACTATTTTCTTTTAAATTATATAAATATATTATATATATTATATAATTATAAAATATATATTTTAATTGTCAATGGACACTTATTTTTATTTATTTGTATGTGGTGCTAAGAATCAAACCTAGCACCTTACAGCCTCACACACACTAGGCAAATGCTCTACCACTGAGCATAAACCCCAACCCATGTTACTATTTCTTATGGTAGGTAAGGATTTGAATGTCTTTTTCTATCCTATAAATTAGTTATATCAGTTTTTAAAAAATCACATTCAGTGTTTTCATCATAATGTCTTTTCTATATTTGAGGCAACTCTAGATCAATGATCATTTTTATCCTTATCAAAAAATTTATGAGATGTTGGCAAAATGTTGGACCATTGGAATATTCTGAATAACTTTCAGTTTGACAAATATAAGATTGCTGGTATTTCTGGATTTTGAGAAACTGTATTATAGAACTTTTACTGTAGTTTTAAAGTTAGTAAGAATTCTGTTATAAAAAAAACACTATTGTGGTTACTAAAACACATTTGTATTATTAACCCTCTGTATTTCTTTCTGTTTTTATCATTCTCATAGCTAAGGATGTTTAAGATATTATACATTCCATTGCTTTTCTTTATATTTAATGTTTTCAGGATTGACACCACTGATCTATGAACTGTTTCTCAGTGATTAATTTAAAACAAAATCTTGTATTTATAGTTCACAATTTAAGTGGTCTTTAAGTTGTGAAAAGTAACACAACTAGTGAGCTTGAGATGTCTAAAATTCCAAAGAGCATTTATATAGCAGCTTACTTTCAAGTCTGTGTAGGCATATTTTAACAAGGTACTACTATAGTCATTTGGAGGCTGCTATTGTTTGTATCTCAAATGTCTCCCATTGGCCCCTGTATTGAAGGCTTAGATCTCAGACCATGGTGCTGCTGGGAGGTAGTAGAACCTTTGAAGGTGAGGCATAGGGGAAGGAAGTGAGGTCCTTCTGGGTGTGCACTTGATACTGGGACCAAAGACTCTCCTCTTACTCTCTTGCTTCGGAGTTTCCATGAGGTGAGTAGCTTCTGTGGCATACTCCCCTTATGATGCTCTGACACAGGCCCAAAAGCAATGGAGCTAGTCACTGACTGAAATTTCCAAAACTGTGAGTCAAAATAAACTATTCCTTTTTAAAAAATTGATTATCTCAGAAATTTTGTTACAGTAACAGAAAAGTGACCAACACAGAGGCATTTTAAAGGAAAAAACAATTTATGATAATTGTTAAAGTCCAACATTAATTTCCTGTTTTACTTTAAATCTAAAGATGTGATATTTTCATTCAGCTAATAAAATGAAATTATTTGCCATGTTTGAAAAGGTGCTCAGATTCTCCCTCATTATATTTTAAGTTCTGTGAAAATAAGGAATGACTTAACATATTTTGTATCACCATTGCTTTGGGACTATGCCTGACTGTTCAGGGTAGAGATGTCTAAAACACATTGAAAAAAAAAATTTTGTTTATCTTGGCCTCATATTATGTACAAATGTTGGCAGTAAAACACCAAATACCACATTACACAATATTATTTTTTTTCAGCAAAAACAAACCATGCAAGTTGGTAAGCTGCCTTTTTTGTTTTATTGATAGTGACACATACTAAAAAATTAATATATATTAATTATCCATGGTCCTTTATAAATATTTAAAGCTATTTTCAAAAGCACAATTCATACTAAAAAATCATACCATAAACTACATATTTAAAAAGACAAAAATAAAATACATTAAAGATCATAAATCATGATGGGATATTGAGATGGCTCATAACTCTTTCAAATATTCTGATTACAATCAAATGTAGACCTTTACCAAAAAGTTGATAATTCTAGGGATTCCTTTTGAGGAAAGATTTAGTTTTTATGTAACAAATAGCCAGATTAGCATACCTGAAATTCCTATGGTCTTAAAAAGCTCTTCAAAGTCCATTAATGCAAACAGAATATTATAAAGTATTCCTGGATGCACACACACCTTTAAAAGATTTTAATGTACTCAGTTTATATTAAATATATTCCTTAGATTCAAAATTGTTGAGGTTTCTAGATCCTATCTTTTCATGTCTTCACAGACTGGATCTGATCTGATAACAAAAAAACCAACAAGAATTATTAGTTTCTGAAGGACAAAAATCTATTTTCTAAAGTAAATATGAAAAATGTATGTAACATGGTAAAACCCTATGTGTACATGTTTTTCTTACACAATTCATACTATAGTTATATTTTTAAAATCAAAGTTGTACATACAAATGGTTAGTGAATCAACTAGTTCTATAAGGCTTGTTTGAAAATAGCAGCTTCTTGCTTCATCTTTCTTTCCCCTTTATAGAATCGAGTACTTGCAGCTCTTTTTAGGTGATCGTTTATGTATTTCTAAGTACACTTTAATATTAATTCTTGAAAGTAATGTAATAATGAGGTTTCAGTTCTTACACTTTCATGCTCTTCTGTACCCTCACTGTGTTTCTACTACTCCCATCAATTTAACATAGTGATGCAGTCATTATCAATATGATAACTATGTAAATTTTATGCACAGCTGATTTAGGTGGTACACTCTGGTTAGTAGTCTTTTCCTCTACTATATTGTTTTCTTTCAAGGTAGTAATTTGACTTCCCACCTCCACATTAACCCGTCTAGGTTTTTAAAAATGTATGTTTTAACAATAATCCAATCCCAATACTTCCAGTTTAAATCTTTATTATTATGAAGCACTTTGCATCATATTCATCTCGAAGAATTCTTCCATAGAGTCCTACAAAATTCTCCAAAGTAGACCAGCTGTTCTCTCTTCCTGCCAGTTAGTTATTCTTATGAGATTTCCTTTCATTATTATTCTAGAATATCTATTAACAAATGAGATTCCTTCCCCTATTCTGTTTCAATGTTCCTTATTTTTCTCTTCTTGATTTATTCTCTTGTTTTTAAAGACTACTCCTTTCAATACTAGACTTTATACAATCAAAGATGTCTTTATTCTGTTGTCACAATATGTTGATATTGTTCTGAGAATATTTTCTCCATGAACTTTTTGTTATAGCTTCTAAATTGTTGCTTTTGAGAAGTCTGATGATATTCTATTTATCCTTATAGGAAAATGTTTTTATTTATTTTTCCTTAGAAACTTGCAAATTCTTCTATTATTATCAGGGCTGAATTTCATAAACAATGCACCTTGAAGGGGATTATTTCATCCATTACACTGGGCTTTCAAAAGGACTTTCAACTGCAAACTCATCACTCAGTTCAGGTAAAGCTCTATCTGATGATTTGCTACTCTTTATTTTCTCTGTTCTCTTTTTCTGACTTTCTTCTTAATTGAATATTGGGCCTTATAAACATGACCCCTTTTTCTTTTCTTTTCAATTTCCAAATCTTCATCCTTTTGCTGTTTTCTGGGAAATTGCCTCTATTTTATTTATTTTTTGTTGACTTTTCCATTTTTTTCTATTCTATTCTTATTTTCAAAGGATTATTTTTTTGTTTGTTTGTTTTTTGTTTCTTATCAAGAAGTAGTATCCTGGTCCTATTCATGAAGACAGCATCTTATCTATTTGAGGAGACTTAACGGTTTTTCAAAATGTTCTAAGTTCTACTTCCTCTAACCTGCTTTTCTTGTTTTTTTACATTCCCATATTTCACAATGCTTTCATCCTCATGTCTGGTGATCATTTGCCACTTGTTCATACGTACATGTGAACACTAAGAAGGCACACTGGAATCTGGAAATATGTGAGGAGCTTGTCAAATATGGTCTTCACTATAGTGTCTGGCTAAGTCATTTCTGTGGGAATCTCCAACATTAATACCTTTAGGTTTTTTCACTACATTGGTCTAATTCCTTAAAGATGACTTTTCCTAATTTTTGCCTACCTTCAGTGTTTCCTGGGAAAAGTAGAAGACAGAATTACAATATTTGATATGAAAACTTTTAGTCACTTCTGACTTTCACTTCAGCATTACCATACACAGTTATGTCTGGTGTTTTCTAGTCCAAAGATATTCTGCTTGACTTCCATACAGATATTCCTTCAAACTTCTTTGTGGGAAGGATATATAGCCATATCTTCTCTCTTCAATTCCATTTTCATCCTTATTTTAAATTTCCACCAATTTCTGAGCTTTCAAGAGGATCTGCAAAGCAAATTAGGCTGCCTTCCAGGATTCCCCAGTACTAACTTGGGATTCAGCTTTCTGAGATCTGTTAATCAATCAACATCCATCAGATTCACCTTCCAAAATTCGGTTGTTCTTTTCACCACTTGCATTCATTTTGCCCACATAGGTTAATGTCTTTTTAAAAGGTCCCTTTATTGTTAGTGAGATTTGGGAATAAAACTGTGTATGTGTTCTATCTTCTGTTTTTCACTGGAGTTTCCAGATGCATAGTTTATAACAGCTTAATGTTAAAATCTAGAAGTAGAATGGGGATATGGCTCAAGGGTAGTATGCTTGTCTACCATGTATGAGGCTCTGGGGTTTAAATGCCAACACCACAAAAACAAAACAAAAAGGTTTATAATCTTTAAGCATTATTCAAAGTTTCAAAGCTAGAAAACTTATTGCTCAGTTATATTTTCTGGAGGATTAAAAAAAAACTTCATATTCTACTCAAGGGTTGTCTTTGGGTGGTTATAGGTGCTTAAGTAATGAGATTCTTTCCAAAAGAGAATAGAGTCATAGACTATGCATCATTTAGTATTTCACAAAAATGTTTCTAAATTTTAGCTTAAAATAATGAGATGAAATTGGTCCAAAATGAACCAGAGGTCTTTTTGTTTATCATGATAGGAAATTTCAGATTCTAAAAGCAAAATGAAGAGATCAAAGTTCAAAACATCTTTCATAGTTAGATTTATATAAATGTTTTTAATGATTTAACAATTACAGACTAGTATCTTGCATTTACTATTATTTATTTTGCAAGATAGGATTTCATCTCTTCAAATAGAGGGATATAAGTGGGAACATCAAAATGCAAACTATTTATTTATTATTATATAAGAAATATGAACAAAGAATCTTTTTAAACCAAACTGATATATTTATTTTTATTTTTTATCTACATATTTATTAATTTATACCTCTGTTAAATAGTGTAGTTAGGTAAAAGAGCAAATTTAACATTCACTGACTTCTTTAGTACTTTAACAGAGACAATATATAATTAATTTGTATAATTTATGACATTTTAAAACTTTACAGATGAAGAAAATTATCTTCACAAGACACTAAGAGATGTTAGCTAATAGGTTAAGAGGTTAATTAATAAATAGGGGAATAAATCTACTAGACTCAAGAGCCCCACTGTGTTTTACTAGTGTTTCATGCTGCTTAGAGACAATAGGGATACTACCACTTACCTTGTGAAGACTGTTGTAAAGAGAACATAAAGTAAGATGATAACAAAAGGACACAAAAGCATTTCCAACAATGTGTCCTTCATAAGACTTGGAAGTTAAGACAGTTAATGGGTGAGAAAAGTCAAAGAAACAAAAATTTGGTGTCAAGAGGAGTTGGCAGTTGGTACTATGATGTTGGATCTTTACTGACACCTAGTGGCCTGATTGCTACAGACAAAATAAAGCCAAGGTGGGTGGGAAGGGCTTAAGAGCTTAACTTAAAATCTAGATGAATACAAACTTATTTTCAGTTAAGTACTATGTTCTGAATAACTTTATTATGATTGATCATAGGGTTTCTATTCTATAACATCTTCACTATAACAGTAAGAACTTGTGAAGTAAGAAAAGAGGGATGAAAACATGTTTTTGATACATTCTCTGGAATTTTCATCTGACTCCATCAGTTTGTGGTGGGAATTCATCCCATTACCTTGATCATTTCCTTTACCATAATCTAAGAATCTAACTTGGTGTATGTGTGCTAGATCCTTGCTATTTTTTCCCAATATGTAGAAGATCACTGTAGAAGAAATCAGAATTTATAACCAAAAAACAATAATTAGAATTTATATCTTGTTATTTACCCTTATTCAGAGTAAGATTCTCCTTAAGAATGATCTTTAGTTGTTCTATTTAAAAAAAAACTTTTGACCTAGTTGTCCAGATTATGCAATAAATACCTATAGAACTTGGCTTCATGGACTTCTCTTCTTGTTTTACATGCATCAAGGTATTTATGCGGCTAGCAGATAATGTAACATTAGGGAAATTATGTATCTTAATTTATTCCATGATATATTGGCTGGCATCAACCTATGATAACTATTTTGGTGAATAACAAACAGAACTACAAATACATAAAGCATCATAGAATAGCAGTATTTATAATACTCAACATGTGTTAAAAGTTCTATATACATTTTATATATAAATGAAGCTACACATGGAGTATTTATAGCCTGATTCTTAGAAGATACATGTCATTCACACTTATTTTTAGTTATTGACAATGAAGCCCAATAATCATACCAAACTTCAAATGTGCTTCAATTATTAGCTCTAATGGAAATTTGGTGCCATAAATTAAAATTATTTTCTAGATTTGGCATATATATTGATTGTAAAGAGGCAAACACTTTAAATAACATATGAAACTTAAAGTGTAAAAGTAAATGGAACAAACTATTGGATACTTACTGTACTGTTTTTTCTGATAGCAGAAACAGATGGAGACAAGAGGAAAAAGGCAATGATATAATAAAAATAAAATGTAGACAAGAAAATAATATGAGTGGAAAAGAAGTAAAGGCTAAAGATACACAGTACTTTGTGATGTACCTTGAAGCCAGTCTACACCTTCTTGCAATCCTTCTCCTTTTATGGCATCACTAGCACTGAAATAAAATCCATAAGAAACAAATCCATTTCATTACATAATGAACTGTAAGAATAAAAAATTACAATTTTTCCACATGACAAATTAATACAGTCTAGTAATATACACTTAAGGAAAACCAGTTAAGAAATGACATTGAATATAAATAGGAAATTAAAGACTGAGGGCTCAGGACCAAGACATGAAAAACATTTTCATAATTTATATAGATATCACTAAAGTTATTCTAAGAATAGTACTTAGACTTACATTAACAACATGTAAACTTTGAGTTATTCTTCCAGTGGTGGTAAAGTTTGTAGAGTTACCATCCTACTTCAACTAGCCTTGAAGGTTCAATAACAGCTACTTACAAAAAAAAATGCTTGAATTGGGCTGGGGATATAGCTCAGTTGGTAGAGTGCTTGCCTTGCATGCACAAAGCCCTGGGTTCAATCCTCAGCACCACACACACACACACACACACACACACACACACACACACACAAAATGCTTGACTTAGGCTGTAAAACAGCTACATGACAAGAGTCACTTTATTTGAAATGTAACCTGATATCTATAACCCATAATTATAACTTTGATAAGCTGGTAGAATAGAATAGAAGCCCAGTAGATTTCAATCACAATTTTATATTTATGAGCTGCATGTACCTGGCTAGGTTACTTAACACTTTGTCTTTAATTTTAACATCTGCAATATGGGGAAATATAATTACTCATTCAGCACCAAGGCTAGCTCTTAATGTAAGCTCTACTACATTCTTGCTTCTTATTTTACTCCCTCTTCTCTACTTTGGTGTTCAACCTTTCCTTTTAGTCTCTGTAACTCTTATAAAAAGGAGAAAACTCTGGTAAGAGAAGGTCATCTTGCAACAGGGAGTGGTAAGTGGGTGGTAGGTAGAAGGGAGTGGATGGTACTAACACTATCTAATAATATATAACCTCTAGTTATTATTTTTGATACATTTTAACAGAAAGGTATATAATATATTAGTAAGAAATTGTTTTCCAAATAATGCATAATAATTTCAGATATTAATCATTTGAGATTTCAACTTTATTAGTTTGTCCAAATAAAATTGTTATTTCTATTTATTTATTTTAGCAAATATTTATTGTGTATCTATTATTTACCAGGTACTATCACTATTGCAGAGGTTACAGAAGTGAGAAGAAAAAAGAAAATGACAAAATCTCAACTCTTACAGAACTAACTTATTAGTATAAGAAGACAAGTTAAAAATAAATAAACAAACAATAGAGGTCATATGGTGTCCTAAAGGAAGTACCACAGCAAGCCAGAAAAAAAATATTTTGTAGAATGATTCAGATGGGGGAGAGGTGAGAATATACAAGTACAAATGCCCTGAGATGGGGTTATGGTTAAATGTTTCCACATACAGAAGGAAATCACTGTGGTTGAAGTCAGGTGAATAAGTGGGCTACTTAAATTATTCCATTATAATAGTGTTTACATTTTTCTATCTCCAAAAGGATTTAAAAGGGTTTTAACAGTAATATATTTCTGAATATCTGCATTGCCACAATTCTGTAAAACAAATCCTTACTTTACCTAGTACTCTGCTTGGTCATTTATAAAATGAGATCAGAAACAAAACAATGAAGCTTGGATATCTTTCAGAATGATAAATAAAGTAAATATAAAACTTTACCAAATATGCCATGGTTTATCTTTGATGTTCTCTAAACACAGCAACTGAGACACTTTTACAGATGTCACTGCATCTCTAAGATCCATTTTGTTTGCAAAGAATAAGATTGGAATTCGACGGTGTTTAATATCTAAAAGAGAAAAGAAGACTATCTTACAAGTTCAGCTTATGGGGTCACTTTGCCCCAAATTCTTAAAATTAAAATAAAATGCTTTCCAGTTAATTCTTTCTATATGACACATGATAAACATTTAAAGACACATACTTTCAAGCATGTATTTGAGCAAAAAGAAAATTTTATTGATATTTCTTCCTAAGACCATCTGCCTTCTGGTTAGAAGCTTTAAACAAAAGATAGATGAGGTTGGAGAAGGGGACTCAATGAGCGGTTACGAAGAAGAATCTATACAAAAGGTTCAAATATATTGCTTGTTACATTTTGTCTTCTAGTACTATGCAACATAATTTATTTAATTAAATGTAAAAGTGTAATGTATTTGTTACTAATCTTTTTAATTTTTTTTTTTTTAGTTGTAGATGGACACAATACTTTTATTTTCTTTACATACTGAGTATGGAACCCAGTGCCTCACACATGCCAAGCGAGCACTTTACCACTGAGCCACAGCTCCAGCCCAAACAATGCTGCAATGAATACATTTGGATATAAGGTGGGTATGCCCACAGAATAAATAGGATAGTGGAATTGCTAGGTCAAAGGATATGGAAATTGCTGTTTTTTTGATAGATAGTATTTTTAAACAAAGGCTATCTTTCCTTAAATCTCTATCAATTTGCGCTTCAGCAACAATTTATAAAATTAAAGGTTTCCATTCCCTAGCCAAAAAAGAATTACCAAAATTTTAAAATCTTTTCCATATGCTAGATGATTAGTAAAAAGTATGAACCCAATGTGTTCATTTGTATTTTTTTGAGAAAAGCCACGAATCTTATAATATTTACAAAAGATGTTAAATGTACCTTTTCTGTTGAACTAGCTACACTTATATCTGGATAATTCATTGCCTTTCTCTGTTTTCAATTAACTTTTTATTTCCTTACTGATTTGTAGGAACACAAATAGTATGCCCTATAGCTATTATATTAGTTGCAAATATTTTCCCTTGTCCATCATGACTTTTGAGCGTTCATGGTACATTATTTTGCTCTTCAAAGATTTTTTTATGTCTTTCATTAAAAAAATGATTCATATGCATTTCAGCTGAGAAATCCCACCCCTGAAAATCTATACCATAAATTAAATTAATCAGTACAAAAGGTATACAGACAAAGCTTTGGTTGAAGAATCTAAGGTTCCCATTGTGTTTGAGGCAGATTTTGTTAAGAACTATTTCATTTCATTAGTCAACAACTTTGCAGGGATAGGTAGAAAGATCAATAAAAAGGAAACATCTGATCAAAAATGCCTCCTCAACCCAGATCAAAACTAATAAGCTTTAAAAGTGGAAATGATACATAAATGATATAGGCTAGGTAATTTAAAATTTTTTTTGAATAATTTTGAGATCATCATATAAAAACACCAAAGATATTCTGGTTAAGCAGCAAGATTTGTTAAGAGTTATTTATGTATTTAAGTTTTGCAATGCTGGGGATCAAACACAGGACCTTCTGCATGCTAGGCAAGTGCTCTACCACTGAACTATGTCCCTAGCTTAGCAAGAAGGTTGGAAAGCTCTACAGTATTCCTATTCTATTTCTAACAAATCTACAGTTTTTTTAAAACCACCCTTCTCTTCTAAAACTCCTAGCACAAGGATTATTTAAAAACTTTTTGACATGAATAAGGCTAGAAATTTAGAATTTCATAATATACTGGAGAATTATTTGTAATAGGGGAAAGGGAAGGGAAAAATATCCATCAATAGGTAAGTCACTGAATAAATTATGGTATACTCATAGTACATAATATTAAGGATCTTTAAAAAGATCACATAATCATACAATTTGACTTGGAAGTATTTCCATCATGTAGTGTTGAAAATGGGAAGATGCAAAAGAGTCTAATAAATATGATCCCATTTTGGTAAACAACAATAGCCCCAATAGCCCTCAATCTTACAGATATCTTTGGAATTCACATAGGTATATTTTTACGTGTGTGTGTGTGTGTGTTCATACATTCATACACATGACACATTTAAAAAATGTGAATGAAAAAATATCAAGTTGTTAATACTAGTCTGTTAAAAAGGGGTGGAGAGCTGGCAGTTGGAGATTAAAAACAAAAAAGATTTGTTTTAAAATATCCACAATAAATACGTAAGAAATTCTGTGATCATACACACACACACACACACAGACACACACACCAGTTTTATATGCTGCTAAATGATATGAGCAGCACAATTGTAAAGGAGGAAAGGTTTATTTAAGGCTCATGGTTTCAGAGGTCTTAGTCTATAGAAGGTTGGCTTCATTCCTTGAGGCTCTAGATGAGGCAGAGCACCATAGCAGAAGGGTGTACAGAGGGAAGCAGCTCACATCATGATCAGGAAGCAGAGAGAATTCCACTTGCCAGATACCTAAAAGCCATGGCCTAATTCCCACCTCCTCCAGTCACACCCTACCACTTCAGTTACCACTCAGTTAATCCCTATTGGGATTAATTCACTGATTGTCTCACATGTGAGCTTCTAGGAGACTCATTACATCCAAACCATAATACACACACTCTCACAAACTCAGATATACAAGGAGCGATATATCTAAAAAAAGTAACCAAATTAATTTTAATGGCTGTTGAAATATATAGATTTTTTACTTTATTCTTTTTCTGTTTCTTTTTTTTTTCCTGTTGGCACATATTATTTATGTAATTGGGAAAGAAGGGCATTTTTATTTTATTAAAATTTACTTTATTTCAGACAGGGTCTCACTATGTTGCCAAGGCTAGACTTGAATATGAGATTTTCCTGCCTAAGTTTCTTAAGTAGCTGGGTCTACAGGCATGGGCCACTGTGTTTGACATGACATTTTTGTTCTTGTGGAAATAAATGTTAGAGACTCAGAAAACATTGCAAAGAGCTTTGAAATTTAAACAATATGGTGATATAAAGCTATTCTAAATTTTGCATAACTAGCACATTTTAAAATTCAAGAATTTTAAATAAAATATAATTAGACAGTATAAGCAACATTTTTGGTTTTTATCTAATAACAAAACAACACACATAAATAGATCCTAAAACAGAGATCACAGACTGAAAGACAGACATACCTGGATGATTCAGAAGAGTATCGAGCTCTTCTTTGGCCACAACCATTCTGAGTCTATCACTACTATCAATGACAAAAATAATGGCTTGTCCTTCTCTGCATAATAAAATAGAAAATAAAATATACTATTTTGGTATAACTCAATGGACATTTTGTGTATTTTCACATATGAACATCTATGTCTGTATTTAAAATGGAATTCTGATGTTTTATACCTTGCCTTTTTTTTTGTAGTATGGTTTGTACTTTTATATGAAAAAATAAAGCTTCCCAATAGCATTTCTCAAAATTTCTTTTTACCATAAACCATAGTGAAAAACTAATTTTACACTGAGATGCAGGAATTGTATATACAAGTATACATAAATGTAATTAAAAGTCTCCTGAAACATTACTTAAAAATAGCTTTTATTTTACCCTAGTTTACATTTAAAAAAGGTGATAGCCACTGAACTCATTTAATGATCCTATCAGCATTTCAAAAATCATGGATTCCTCTGTACCCTTCTTTCAAAGGTTATAATATATTGTATGCACCATCAAATAAACCTGTTGTTGGACTTCATTCTGTTATGGACTGTCATTAATAATCAAATGAATAAAAATAAATGAAACTTCTAAAATACCATTTATCCTATCATCTAAAAAAATGAAAATGTAGATTAACACAGCCACACCCTGCTAGTGGATATAGAAGCCAGTACAATTGGAAATATCAAGGGCTTTAAAAATGTTCAATTACTTTGAGCAAGTCATTTTATTTCTGAATTCATTCTAAAGTAATGTGAACTATAGCTAAGGTTTATGAAAAAAGTTAACTGGAGGATCATATGTATCTTACTCTGAAGAAACAAATGACATTCTTTCTCATAGGAGTGCTTTGTTTTGATAGTAAAAATAATTATTACTGTATGTATTATTAATCTTTTAACCTTTTCAGTCTAATAGGTTAAAATACACTTATTTTTTATAATTAGAAAAATACAGAGAAACTAATTATTGTAGGCTTCTCAACAACAAACGTATTTACCATTCAGTCTACAATTTAACCACAATGTTCCCGAATTCATTAATTTCTTTCAAAAGCAGTAAAAGGAGTTGAAATCAGAAAATTTTTTTCTTGTTTTAAGTATTATTTTTCCCTGTATTTTTGTTCTCTGTAATTAAGATAAGTATTTTTTTCAATTTGGAGCAAATAATTTATAATTATACAAAACTCCTTAACCCCTAAACTGAAAACATTTTTCAAATATGAAGTTCAGTACTTAAAAATCCTTGATTTTACTTTTTTCTTTTTTTTTATTGGTTCATTTTAGTTATACATGACAATAGAATATCCATTTTAACATAATTATAAAAGCATGGAATATATCTTGTTCTAATTCAATTTTAAAAGGAATTTCTATCAACTAACTAAAGGAAGAATAAAAATCATGTACTGAAAATTTAGATTTTCAAATAATAAAAATAAAAAATCATCATCATCATTATCATCATCATTATCTCCACAGTTCCCCAGGGAATTTAATGCAGGATACCATAAACATGTTACTTTTCCTTTTCCAAAATGATCCTCAAATTGGAAGCGCTCTCCTTTTTTTCTACCTCAGAGGTACTCTGGATCTACATATTTAAATAATTTCAATGTACTCTAAGTACTTACTGAAAAGAATATCTCCTTTTGTTCATATCCCAGGAATATAATATTTGTTATACTTGCAAGAAAGAGTTAATCAACTTATTAAAATCTAAATCTGATGTGGTAGTCTTCTTATACCATTTCAAAGCAGGAGTTCATAATATCAAAAGGGAATTTAGTTGGGGAATACTATTTTTACGTTTCAGACTCCAAAAATGAGTTACACTGCTTTTTTTTTTTGGGGGGGGGGGGGGTTAAACATCAGAACTTTATTAGTTGCTCAAAACATTACATTGATCTTGATATATCATATATCATACATTTGTTTCAAATGGGGTATGAATTCTTATTATTCCCATGTGTACAGATTGCAGGATAACATTGGTTATACTGCCACGTTTATACATACTGCAAAAGTTCTATCAATATTAGAAGTTAATGAATTTAACACCAAATGCAAATCTTGAGAAAGTATAACATATATGGATTCTAATAACTTGACAGCTGTTAATCTGAAGTAACTAGTGAACACTTATTTGCATATGCTGAAAAATATCCTGTTTAAAATTGCTCATGGAAAAAACAGATCAACTGTTAGTACTATTATTTTAAGTAAATTTGGTAATAATATTTTATCTACATGCTAAGCATCATACTAAGCCTTAAAGAAAGGAAATCATCTCATCTTTAGATAAGTTCACAATCCCATTAGGGAGGCAGCTACAGTACTTGACTTTGAGATAATAGTAAGTAAGATTACAGAGATATAAACGGATAAGGTAGTGGGCAAACACAGGGGAAAGAATAAATAGGGAAACAGTGACAGAGGAGGTGACTTTTGAGCAAATTCTTAAAGCATGAATAAATTAACCATAAACTAAAAATATGTAAGGTAAAATGGGACATTAAAAACAGAATGGCACATGCAAAAGCTCAATGTTATGAAGGACCTGAAGCATTTGAATTAAAAAACGTGCTTACTTATATTACATTTGAATTAGAATATGTGCTTAAATTATAGTATATTATATTAAACTTTAATATAATCATTAAACAATATTCATAAACATACTTACTTATAATAGTGCTCCCAGAGATTTCTATATCTTCCCTGACCTGACATGTCAAACACTGTAAAAGACAAACTTAAAAAAAAGTATGAAGTATGACTATATTATAAGCTACTAACTTACAGTATAACTTTTATTTAGTATTTTAAATTGTTTTCAAAGAAATCACCCTTGCTATATAATAATCAATGTGGGCCAATTTTTAAGAGTTCCAAAAAATGAATTCGTACATATGATTTTTGTAATGAATAACACAAAAAGATACTTTATTTGCTAATGAGGTTACTTAGAATCTAAATTCTATGTTTTGAACAATAAACCAGAGGTAGTGGTACAAAGTATTAGAATCTACAGGTTCCTAAAATAACAAATTACTTTCTCTAAGACTAGGAGGGATGATCAGGCTCAGGCAGATTTAATATGGTTACTTTTTATCCACAACTTCTTTTTATAACTTTATTTATTTTTTATTAGTGCATTATAGCTATATATAATATTGGTATTCGTATTGACATAATCATATCTATGACTTTTAGTCAAAGGGATAAAGGGGATTACCTGGATGATTTGAATTTCTCTATGTTGAATCCTATTGTTGGAACTATATCTTGAGACTGAGCCTATAAGAGAAAAGACAAAGTTTAGAAAATTGCAATTAACAAAGAATTTTTTCTTGTGAAAAAAAGTGTTCATATTTTACATTTCTAAAATATGTCACAAAGGAGATGGCAGCATTAAACAAATTATAACTTTTGTGTATAAATTTTTTTATAGCTGTTTAAACTTTATACTGATTTTAACTGCATAACATCCATGTCTTAATTCACATTTTATTTTATTAAGAGTTACCAAGGACTTAAAGTTTTCTTTTTCTTTTTTCTAAATGTTTGTGGTTTTTGTTTTTGTTTGTTTCTTTTACTTGGTTTGGGATTTTTAATTGCCAGTTTGCAACAAATAGAGAGCAAAAAATTTTTTAGTAAGGTAATAAATTCATCCATTGATTTAACTCAGGAATTTTCTATTGATGATACACTGTGCCTACTATAAGCATTTTTTAAAAAAAAAAAAATTAAAAATTTTACAATCATCATTTGCTTCAGATGTCAAATACAGCTTCTAGGTTAGGTCATGTATCCACATAAGCAAAAATGATTTTACCTTATAATTCATCTCATCAAATTTGTTTTAAATTGCTTTAATTTCTTTGACTTTATGACAGAGACATAATCATATACATAGACTTCAATTCTACATATCAGTTTCATCTGTTGGGATCTCATCTCCACTTCTAAATACTACAATGTCCCAATATTTAATTCTTTTTAAAATACATATATATATATATATATATATATATATATATATATATATATAATATACATATAGAGCACAATTTTTCATGTCTCTGGTTGTATATAGAGTATATTCACTCCAATTCGTGTCTTCAGACATGTACTTTAGATAATAATGTCCATCACATTCCACCATCATTGCTAAACCTCAGCCCTCTCCCTTCCCCTCCCACCCCTCTGCCCTATCTGTTTTTTAACAGGTCTAATATATCACCCTGAGTTCATACGTGGAATTGTCTAATCTTTCAATGCATATTTACTAAGTTTATACAAATACCACCTTGACTTCACGTCTAGACTGTCCCTGTAAGGATTCTGGCCGTGGGTATGTACAAGGCAGCATTCCTCTGGTGAGCAAACTCATGGAGGGTAACAGGCACCACCCTGTTATCCATATTTGGAATATTCTACAGTTTCTCCCTGGAACTAGTAAGATGACTAATACATGGTCAATGCCTAGCTCAATGTCCTTGAGAGGAGGCTCTGTGCTAGAGTCTTATCAGCCTCGACCTTAATCTCAAATACTCAGCTTCTGGGAATAAAGGAACTCTCTTAGACAACACCAATGTGTCACTGTACCTAAACCTGCCCACATAACAGTAACTTTTTACAATGAGCAACATGTACTAAGGATGTCAATGACCTAATGTAGCCTATGGATATAAATAAAGCTGGCAGCTCAGATGAGAAGCTCTTTTACTTTGCCCCTGCACCTTGCTTGCTTCTGTCTTTCTTTGTTATTCTTTACATGTCCCTGCTCTCAATGAGTTTATAATCTAGAGAAAGTAAATGAATTAACAACTTAATAACAGATAAATACAATTTTGAACAGTGATAAGTACAAAGACAGGTAATTGGGGTGAAAGGGAACAGGGCAGAGGAAGGCTGGTATGTGGCACAGTAGAGTCCTCAGGAAGGGCTGCTCTAAGAGAGTGACATCCAACACAAGAGTAAATGGCCATGAAAGCGAAAAGCTATGACAAGCTCTTGGCAAAGAACATTCCAGTCTTAGCCTGTGCAGCAATGATCTTAGAGCAGGAAGGAACCTGACACTCAGAAAAAGTATAAGGCCTGCTTGTCTGAAGTATATGGATAAGTAAAAGAGCTGTATATATTTAGGTAAGAAAGGTAGGTATTGAAGGCCTACGTAGAGAGTTCTGTGTGATGAAGACTGCAAGGGGGCAATAGTACAGTAGGACATCTGTTGACAAGTTGAACAGGCAATTAAAATGCATTTTACTGAAAACTCATCAAATGTCTCTTAGCATTTCTACCATCAAAATTATTCACCCATTTGAATAAAACATCTACCTATTTTCTGATCCAGAGCTTTAAAGTTATTCTTGAATCCTTCCTTTTTTACATTCCATATACAATCATTTTCTAAATCATTCTCTTTACAGGTTCTATCTCACTTCATTCTGGCCCTTATTATTTCTTGCTTTGAATTACTACAATAGTCCTTTTTTATTTGTTCTTTTTAGGTATACATGACAGTAGAGAATACAAACACGAAACACGTCTTATTCTAATTAGAATCCTAGTCTTGTGATTGTACCTGATGTGGAGACTCACGACTCACTGTGGTTTAATTATATATGTACATAGGAAAGTTAAGTAAGATTAATTCCACTTTCTTTCCTATTCCTGTCCCCCTCCCTTCCCTTCATTCCCCCTTGTCTAATCTATTGAACTTTTACCCCTACCCCACATCTTGTTCTGTGTCAGCATCCACATATCAGAGAAAACATTTGACCTTTGGTTTAGTGGAATTGGCTTATCTCACTTAGCATAATAGTCTCCAGATCCATCCATTTACAGGTAAAAGCCATAATTTCATTATGTTTTATGGCTGAGTAAATATTTCATTGTGTATATCTACCACATTTTCTTTATCCATTCTTCTGTTAAAGGGCATCTAGGTTGGTTATATAGCTTAGTTATTGTGAATTAAGGTGCTATAAACATTTATGTGGTTGCATCATTGTAGTATGCTGATTTTAAATCCTTTGGGTATATATACTGAGGTGTGGTCAAATGGTGGTTCCATTCCAAGTTTTCTGACAATTTGTATAAACTGCTTTCCATAATGGTTGCACCAATTTGCAGTCCCACCAGCAACATATGAATGTACCCTTTTCTCCACATCCTTCCCAACATTTGTTACTTGTATTCTTGATTGTTGCTATTCTGATTGAAATGAGAGGAATCTAGGTAGCATAGCCAATTAAGAGACTATTGAGACAATAGAATTACCTTGGACAAATTAGTTAAGACTAAGTTTTCTTAAATGTGAGGTATATTTTTTACTATCCTTAGCTCATAAAGTTATCATGAAAATTAAACTAATGGGTGCGAAACAAACAATACTGTGTCTAAAAATATGCAACAAATGTCTGCTGTTATTATAATCATACTCTCACTGATTTCTTTCAGTCTTGCCTCCATTTTTTTCCCCATACTACCACAAATATAGCTTAAAAAGAAATCCCTTTCCAGTTTTGCCTCACATCATTATGCTCACTCTGGTAGTCTACTTCTGGGAAATTTAAATTCAAATGAAAACACTGAAGCTGTAAAGTCACTGGGGTCTGGGTACCCTAATAGTAACATTAGTGAAAAAGTCTGCCCCTGAAGTACCCTGGTCTTGCTTTTTTGAAGTTTATTCATCTTTCTCTTTCATCCATCTTAAGAGTTGCCATAGTATTTTTCAAAAATACCTTCCTACTTGTTTGTTCAAAAAAATTATTTTCTGCTACTAAGATATCTGCCTCATATATTAGGATTCCTCCCACAAGCTTTGAAATAGTTTCCTAATTTTGTTGTCCAAAAAAAATCTCCACCATCTTTAAGGGTTCTCAATGTGTCAGTCACATGATAAAATCATCAGCTATTATCTAATAAAAACATACAAGTAACAAAAAAGTGAGGAAGTTAAAGCTTAAAGAAATCTCAGAAAATACAATCAAAACAGTAACCTTGTTTTCATTGAATTATAATTAGAACATTCACCTAACCTCTCCACAAATATTCAGCTTCTCCACAAATTCCCCTTTAATATGGTATTTTATTTTTAGATGTAAAATTCATAAACTTTCTTTTCTTCTCCATCAAAGTTAAGATACTCCACAAATTAATCAGGATAGAACATACATGGGGGCTAGTGCTTCCAGATCATGTACAACTCATTTTCCTCTAAAGTATTCCCAAAAGATAAATCTCCAAAATTAATCTCTCTCTGCTCTCTTCATGAGCAAATGCATTGGGCCATTCTCTAAACTAGTCAGGGGATGATATAAAGCAAGTGAAAAGTATAGGAACAGATCATCCGAGACAGTCTAGGGATGTATCAACCCTAACAGGAATGAAAAAGACTTCCAAGAACCTATTTAGTTAGTTTTATAACATCTGGTAAAATCCAATATCCTTGGACTATCAATCAAAATTTCCTGGCCCAAACCAAAAACATCATCTATCAATTTATCACCCCAAAATATACTTAATTGCTGAGCATTATTCTAGATATCTGTAATTCAGTGCTTAACAAGTTAAGTGATCTATTATGCTGAAGATAAATTTAACAAGGAAGTTAGCAAATGAATATACAAGATAATTTCAGATTGCTAGGAACTGGAGGAAAAAATTGGAATTTAAAAAGAAACATAAACATATCTTTTAAGGAAATAATAGCTGCAACTAGATTCTTACAAAGAGACACAAAAAAGGGCAAAGCAAATTATTTTTCTGAGACAGAATAGCTGCCTAAAGACTATGGTTCAGGAAGTGGTTAACAGAAATTGGTAAAGCACTATTATGTGAGTTTTCTTGTAGCAAGACTTACCAGGAATGTATATATCATGTGTGAAATGTGTTAGCTTTACCTACGTTTTAATTATTAAAATAATTTGTTCATATGCCTATTTCTGTCTTCCTGTCCACTACAACTGATATGTACATCATACTTTTGGGGAAAAGTGTCTAATTTTCATAGAACCTATAAAAATGTCCATTCATTCTTTCCCTTTGTTTTACATCTCCCATAAAGAGGGAAGTTTAAAAAAAAAAAAAAAAAAAAAAAGGCAATGCAACCTGAAAGTAAGGTTGAGAAAGTTATGAAGATCTTTAGGGGAGAAAAAAAAAAAAAAAAAACTAAAATAATATTCCAGTTTAATAACCAAGATTTATCTACATGCAACATAAAATACACTGCAAATTGTAGTTCACTGATACTTATTAAAGTATTTCAAGATTAACAAGATTCATAACATGATTACAGAAAATTATAATATCAAACAAAATAATTCTACATATTAACTTTTTCTAGTAGCAGAAAATACACAATGCATTGAACAAAGATACTTACATTTGAAGGTTTAAGTTTGTTAATGATTGTTGTTTTGCCACTGTTATCCAGCCCAAGGCACAAAACATGAACCTCTTTCTTCTTCAAGCCAAGCAAACCTGAAAGTCGGTCTAGCAATCCCATACTGTTATTCCAATATATACAAAGTGGCTGCAAGGAAAAAAAAATATACTATCTAAAGGCACTTTAAGTAAGGAAAATATTGATATCTGTATTAAAAATTTAAAGACACACATTGATGTAAAAAACATGTCAATGTAGCTTTACACTTAGTAAACAGAGTATAAGCTGATTACCAGAAAGAAGCCTTAAATAAAATGCAGATTGGCAGCTTATAGCCTTTGGCAACATAGAACAATGCCCTTGAAAGAACCACATTTCTCATTGCAATTTACAATATTTAAGAAGAAGATGTGGTCAGCCTCACTATCATATGAAATCTGCCAATAGTAACACTTCAAATTGAGATTTTTGCCTATATCATTTGAATCACTAACTAAATCTTTATGACAAATAAGAGCATTGTTATATTTTGCAATACTATGAAGATATAAAATGTTTACTATTTTTGTTTGGTTACTTTCAGTTTGGGTAGGGTTTTCTATCAATAGAAATAAACTATCCTGATATATTTATCTTTATTTCCCCTCATCCTTTACATATATCGTTGCAAGTCATCACAAATCCATTTTGAAATAATGGACACACACACACACACACAAACACTATCACACTTTTATTGAATCTTACTAAATTTATTATCTTAACTATAATTTACCTGAAACATCCTTCTGTTATTTTAAGAGAACTTTATAATACTAGCATAGAAATAAGAAAGTAAATACTAATATTAGATTTTTATTTTCTCAAATACTGTTAAAAGATTTTTTGTTAACTTTTCCTTAAAGTATGCATTTGTTCAATTGTATTCATTTTTAGAAAAAAAACAAAACAACTCTTCTGTTAGTTTCTATTGCTATAACTAATACCTGAGATAAATTAATTTATATAAAGAAAGGTTTATTTTTAGAATTTTGGAGGTTTCAGTAAATGATAGAGAGTGGCCCAATTACTTTTGGGCCTGTAGTGGAGCAGTACACCATGGTGGGGAGCATGTGGTGGAGCAAAGCCGCTCACCTCACAGTTGGGATGTGAAAAAGAGAAAAAAGAAGGGGTTGGGTCCAACTATCTCCTTCAGGGCAGCCCTCAATGTCTGAGACTGCTCAGTAGGCTACAGAGGACTAGGCTTTTGGCACATGGACTTTTGGGGAACACTTAAGATGCAAACTATAGCACTTTCTATATCAAATGTTTAAAAAAGACTCTACCAGCAATCCAATTACAAAAATGATGTCCTAATTAGAATAAATTATACTCCATGTATGTATAATCTGTCAAGATACACTGTACTGTCATGTATATTTAAAAAGAATAAATAAAAAATAAAAAACAAAGTCAAGTAAAATTGCTATTGACAGGATCTTTGCTATGTGAAAACTTTATAGGTGTTCCTATCCAAGATGCTATTAAATTTATACTTCAGATCTCTAAATGAAACTTTTCAAAGGAGCTTGTTTTGGATTCCTCACCTCTCAGATCACCCAACTCTATAAAAGAGAGATATTCCTTTTGCCAACCCTCAAGTGCTATAGGCACTGCCCCAAAATACCTGTGAATATTTCCCATTACTCATTGAATATTCATTTTCCAAGTTCTCGAAACATTAGTCTCAATTTATTTTCATCTTCATCTATTATCTTCCAACTTCTTCAGTATTTTTTATTCCATACCATCCTAAGCAAGACCAAACCTTGAATGATGTAAGGCTGTACAAAACTAACCAATAAGAGGCTTCCAAGATAACTGCATGGGAAAGGATGCTGCAGAATTAACATTTTCCTTAAGTCCTTTGGGAGATCATTATGGTTTATAAATTTCAAAACTGAATTTCAATGATGTACAGAAGATAGAAGGCACCACCCATTTAAGAGTAGGTTCTATAACAGAGCTAATTTTGTCTTATCCAAGGGATGGGCTGACCTCAGGTACTTCCATTTGTGCCAAGTGAATCGATTTTTAATATTAGTGGTACAAATCCCACTCAAAATTTCCTGTGAATATCATCTAAAGGACTGGTATTTGTAGAATCTATTTTAAGTTAACCTTCTGATAGGAAGCAATTCACACAGATCATCTTAATTCAAAGTAAATTTGCTATTACTTTATTACACTGAACATATTGATATAAATGCTTATATTATTTTGTATTCCATATGACTTAAAATATTTTTAAAATTATGACCACTTTTCATATCTTCTCCATTTACTATAAAGCACTGTTAAAGCCTAATGTTTGAATAATCATTTTTCATCATTATTCTGACTTCCATTCCTTTTCACAATTACTAACATTTGTTACTGAAATATTTTTCAATACACAATTGAAAAGGGAAGTCAGTTTTTCTAAAGGATGTAATCCTATTTATTGAAGTTGCTTCAAAAATAACTATGATAAAGCCTTATGTATACTTTTTATTTTTCAGTAATTTTCCATCCATAAGTTTACTGTCTATATGCATAAAGGGAGGAAGTAAAAAATAACCAAAGTCACTCAACATTTATTAAAAGCACAGTGTATTAAAAACACAGTGGAAGATACAACTGATATCTTTTATAGATTCCTATTCCTATAATAGGCTCTGATTTTCAACACTGGTTGCATTTTGGAATCAACTACTGAATCAGAGTTTCTGAGAATGGGATAAAGGCATTTATAGTTTTAAAAGCTACACAGTGTTTCTGATAAGTATTCACTATTGAGAAATAGTAGTTTTCAGACCCCCTAATCCCATGTTCTTATCATTAATATCGCCTTGCTACCTATCAAAATTAAGTCCATTTACAGCGTTTTTTCCCCTAACAAGAGAAAAGCATAACAAAGCTATTTTTTACTCAAAGTTTTACATGACATAGGAGCCTTCAGAAATAAAGACCCAAAGACTCAGTGAAATTTTCTATTTTTTTTTTTGTTAGGTCCCATGAAATATGAACAGAGTGTAAACTGTGATTGGACAAAAGAATATGATCTAATGGTAACAGAGGGAAACACAACAAGCCCTATCCATTCAGATTCTTCTTGGTAACTCTGTGCAGGTATGGAGCAGGACACCTCACTGGAATGAGGATCTTCAAGGGAGGAGGAAAAGCGACCTTGATAGGATTTATGATTTGCTTTGAGGGACAGGAGTTCTAGTTTCTATGATATGTCTTGGGGAAGAATAATTCTCATTTCTCTTTGGGGAGACAGATAGGCAGGATACAGGAAGCGGAAAAAAAATCAGGAAAATCTTGCTTCCCAGGCCCTTCCAAAGTCTTTCACTTCAAGGTACTCAGAAATTCAAGATGCAATACTTTGCGGTATCATGATCTGAGTTCTAACACTACCTTGGTTATTTATCTGTACTCCTAGTGTACATGAAGTCTATTTTTAATAAATATTGGTAATGAACACACTCAAAAAGAAAAATTCCATGTCATCACACTCTTAAATCTAATTCCTTAATCAATATTCAATTATAAAAATCTTTTTCACAGATTTTCTTAACTTTCATTCAAACCTAGGACCTCACAAATGCTTGTCAAATGCTCTACCGCTAAGCTACATCCCCAGACCTACTATACATTCTTAGAAATATATTTCTAGTGGTAGGAATTGTTGCATCAAAAGGCAATCATATTTTAAATTCTGATAGATTCTGAGGATTTGTTTCTAAGAAACTTGCAACAACACTTACCAACAGTGGATGAAGCTTTCTATTCCTTTTATCAACACAGGTTATGGTTAATTTTTCAATATTTGCTAATCTAAAAGTAAAAAAATGGTATTTCAGTATTGTTTAAATTCGTATTTATTTCACTACTAATGAAACTGAACATCATTTCAGAATTTAATTGCCATTAACATTTCTTCTTTTATGAATTACCAGCTATATTCTGATGCTTATTTTTCTATTGATTACCTTTTACTATTGGCATATGAGAGCCCTTGCCATGCCATACTATTGCATAGTTTTAACCAATAAAATTTTACTATTATTTATGTTGTTTTGTGCTGTAAAGGAATTTTAATTTCTATCCGGTAATATTTATAATGTTTTCTCCAGCTTCTTTCTTCAGCATTAGGCCCAGAAACACTCTTCCTCCTCAATATTTTAAACATATTAACCCCAAAATATTTTTTGCCTTTTGAAGAAAATAATGATTTTGAAGTTTTTGAAGTTTAAGTTTTGCCTGAAACATCTGGGTATAAGAAGTGAGGCAGGGAAGGGGCTGTGGCTTCTTTTCTTTAATACAATGATAGTCGTTTTATTCTGGTATCATTTTCTTTTTTACCAATCCTTATAGATGGACTAATTTTTTCTCAACTTTTTTTCACATTCTATATTTTTTATATAGGTTTGGGTGTGTTAGTAGATTCTGTATTTCAGCATGTTCCAAATAGTACTCTTTGGAAGATGATTTTATGAATTATATTTAAAAGGTTTCCAAGATTATGTAAGTTTTAGAAATTTGGTATTCTCTCAATTTAAACAGGTTTCTGCAGGGCCATACTCCTGAAACTCTTTAATATGATTTAGCATATGGACTGCAAGTTTCCAAGAGGTATATAAAGCCAGTAGTATTTTTGATGAATATCTGTCCATGAAAACTTTGTTGGGAAGTATTTCAATTGCACATAATTTGGGAAACCTGATCTACTCTCTTTTTATGAATCTGTCTATACCTAGATCAGGGCTACAATCTTTTAATTCACCTCCCTTTATAATACATTTGATCATTTGATAAAGCCCTTCTCTCATACTGGTATGTTTTCAGAATATGATAGATTTATTAAATGGTTTGCACACTTTCCACAGAAGATTTCACTTCAGTTATGAAGAAAAATATGCTATGAAAATTTCTGTGCTTCTATAGAATTTTTCTTATCTCATGTTTTTCTTTTTTCTTTCATTCTTCTTGTTTAAGTTTACAGAAAGAAAGATCTTGGACAACAATAAGATTTTCCAAAGGCTAATTATGACTAATCTGAGATTAGTCCAGGTAATTCTTATTAAGAAGAAACCCCTCCCCCACTACCACTCAGACTGAGACACTATAATAGATGAGAAGACTATTCCAATCTGACCAACGCAAACCTAAACATTCAGAGTTGGATAATAAAAAACAGTTAAAAAAATGAGACACATGTCACAAAGTACACGTAGCCTTTTTCACTCTCCAAGTTGTTCTTATTAACAAAACTGTACTAAAGCTTATTTTTGGAGAAAATTATAGTCTTGGTTTAGGCAAAAAGTAGAAAGCTGATGTTGAGATTGGCAAGCGTTAGCTAGGCAGAGCACTACTATCTGATAGCTTAGAAACAAAATATAACTTTAGCTTAAAATCTTACTTTCTAAACAGACATTGGCAGAATTAAGACACCTGAGATCAATTTGCTGTAATAACAACTCTGTACTTGAATCTAGAATACTTGGGTTTGAGTATTGGCCATGGCCCTGGATGTATGACTTTGTGAGTTGCTTGGCCTCTCTGTCCTTTGGATGATCTCTAAGGCAGTGGTCATGCACTTTTTAAGGTTTTTCACAATCTGTCTCCAATCTACCTTTTCAGTTTTTCATCTGTTTTTCTTTTCCTGGCTACTGAGAATCAGCTTCCTAAAAGATTACATGTTGCTAGAAAAGCCCAGAAAAATTAGGATATTATCCAGTTAATAGCTTGGAAAGTAAGTTGCAGACAGAGATAGGATCAGGCAGAGAAAACCCACGAATGGTATTTTGTAAACTTTAAACATGTTTGTCGAGTAAATTTTTGCACCTTTTCTTACACCAAGTAAACATGCTTATTTGACTTTCAGTTTTTGATAGCGAAATTTCTATTGTAATTCCCCATAAATCATAAAAAGGCTCAAGTTGGACAGTGTTAAAACTAACCAAACACTATTCGCCCAAACCAGTTCAATACGTTTTCTAGGGTCCCTAGTACTCACCACAGAAGTCCAATTCTCCTTTTCCATCTTTCACACATTAGAAACAACTACTCGAATGGAGCACAAAACGTGGGAAAGAGTAAAGAGAACTCCTAAAGCTAAGGGGGAGAGGTTTACCTCTGGCCACAAAAACTGGGGAAATAAGGAGATACCTGATCTTGAGGCTGGTCTGGAGGGCCCAGGAGCTTGTGAGGAACCGGAATGGATGCACTCGCTAGTATCAGCTTCTGAGAAGGAAATCTGGTACGGAAGTGCCTCAGCCTTCCTCTCTAGGACTCCATCGGAAAGATCCCTTGTCTTGGGCAAAGCCGCCTCTACTAGTTGGGGAAACTGGCAGCTTCAGCCTCAGCAAGAGCATCAGGGGCTGAGCAGGCGCCTTGGGGCGCGGCGTTCCCTTGGCAACAGGAGTCTCTTCCGGTCCTGAAGCCACGCCTCCTTGAGGGTCTCTGCGTTTCAGCCTTGGCGTCCTTGTTTCTGGGATCCAAGAGCTCCGGGGAAAGACGAGAGACCTGCCGAGGAACTCTATTAAGGAAAATGTGAGCACAGGTGAAAAGTCGAGCCGCCGATTTCTGCGAGGAGCTTCGCAATCACAGATGAAGCATGATGGGAGTTGTAGGCGCGCAGAGCCTGCTGGGTAGCGTTTTACTTCCGCTTTGGCTGTGAGCTGTCTTTCTCCGGGCTGGTCTCCCGCTGCAGGTCCCGGGCTTCGTAGTAGATAGCTCTCTGAGTGGCACCCAGAACGCCTCCTCCTGGCACTACAGGACAAAGCTGTGTCCCCTGAGGCACAGATGTGTACCAGAAGTGTCCCACTGCCCATCGCACCCACCCTCCCCTGGGTTATTCCGACCCCTGATTCCTAAGAAGTAAGACAGTAAGGCTGTTAATGTGGTCAGAGAGGAAAGAAATTTGTAAAAAAAAAAAAAAAAAAAGAAAGTAGTATAGTTACTGTCAATAGCGTGTTTTTTTTTTTTTTGTTTTTTGTTTTTAGGCTAGGGAAAATAAAAAGTGAAAGACATTATTTGGCAAAGGAAGTTAGTTTGTACTCCTGCTTCTTAGCTCTCTGGTCTCCTGTAGTGATTTCCACCAGGTCTAATCTTTTGTGATTAGATTATGGTCCCCAGAAATCTAATCCGCTGTATTTAAAAGTTGGCCGCTTTCTTAAATTGCACGTGTGTATTATTGTAGTAGAGACTAATGATCCTCAAAATATGTGCACGTATACTTCCCCCCACATTTCCCCCACAGTTCACACTGGTAGTCATTTTAAAGATGTAGAATTTTTTTTTTTTTTTTTTTTTTTTTGCCAGCCTTTCAGTCTATCTAGTCCCATCAGCCTCACCTCTCCATGAATGGCTTTCATGATTTAAATGTTCTTTAAAGAAGTTTCATCTCTTCATTTCCCTCATTTACCATGAGTATGGGATTTTATTTTTCCTTTTCTACTAATTAGTGTTACGTTTATTATTCTACCTGTTCTTTGGCCTATCAATTAATTTGGCCTATTTAAATGGACTATAAGGGTGAAAAAGAAATTCTATCAATATAATGATGGTGGGGAGGATTGTACACATATTATGATGGGGGATTTTTTCTTTGTTGATTTTGGAAATTTGCAAATGTAGCTGTTTTTACAGTGAAGGAAGTGTTCTGGGCTGTGACTCTGCTGCAAGCAAAAACTAACAAACAAAAATCCTGTAGTTGCATATCTAAAAGTATTAACATAGTGTGTTTGTAGAAAACATACTATGAAATATACTATGCTTTGTGGTGTCTCCTTAGGCCAGTTAACCCTTCTCTATGCTTCATCTTCCTCACCGTCAAAAACATACTATTTTATCTACTGTTTCTGAGGATTAAAGAGATAACAAAAGTATAACTGTTTGACACATAGGTGTTCAATACATATTTTCCTGCCTTCCTTTGTTCTGAAATTTTTTACTTGACCCAATTATTAAATATCATGGTCCTTTAATTTCTGGCCCTGAGTGCATTTACTGGTAGATATTGATCAATTTTCTTTGTTTCTGAGTATTGTACTCACTTTAATAAGAGATGGAAGCTATTTGCTGGTAGATAGACTACAACAATTTTGTTTCCCCTCAGTTAAGAAGAAATCGCATGTTCTAGAAAACTTTCATGGATAGATCTTATTTTCTTATTTAGGTTGAGTTCATGTTTTTACATAGTACAAAACATTGGGTGAAAACTACAAATGTAATAGGCAGATTGAGCACCAACTTTACAGTAGACTTAGGCAGATAGATATTTCTTAACAAGAAAAAGTAAACAAAAAGATAATTGTTATTATTATTAGAGATGAAATAGTTGTTGTCATGAAACAAACAGTTTACCCAATTTGGAAAATGTCTGTTTTGAAAATGTCATCCTAATAAAAATGACAAATATTTAATATGATTGAGTTTGTTGTTTTTGTACTTTGCCAACTGAAAATGCTCTGAGTGTTGAGCACACTCAGAGGCTCAACATAAAATTGTTCCATTCCATTTAAGAAGTTAGATTGAGAGTAACAAGCTTTAAAAATGGTATGTAATTTTCTTAAAACTACATAATATATATGTGCAAGAGAAAAGAGTTTTAGATTGTTTTTTGGCCAGTTTTAATTTCATACTGGGTTTTGGAACTGTAGCAAAATTATAAAAAAAGATGAGAAGAAGATACATTGAATATAACACTATTCTGATTAATTCTTGATATTTTTAACATATTTTCTTACCAGCAACTTTTAAAAGAATATAGAAAATCTCTGGTTTATAATTTATTGGAAGTTTTTGGAACAAACATTGATGGTCTAAATCTGTATTTGACCAGCGAGATGTTCTGTGTCTTTTGTTATCTGCAATTTGTGTACAGTAGTACCTCTGCAATAAAAAATTTAATTCACTTGAATCTCAGAAAATATTTTGCTAGTGTAAAGTCACTAAAAATATGTATAATTTATTATGATTCATGTGAATTTATGTGTAGACAATATGACATTATTAATTACTACAGCTATGATTTTGCATTCAGAATTACTAAAGTAGCTTAAAGAATATCTACATTTCATAAACTAAAAATAAATTACATTAGGAATACATCAATACAAAAACATCACAAATTCAACCACCAGAACTGTAACTTTTATTTGCTAATATATTTTAATAAACAGGCTTACTCCATCTGTAAGACCCTGATAATTCCTCTTAGGAAATCATAGAAAAATAAAATACAATAATTATTAATTTGTACTTTGTACAAAAATCTTATTATGTTGCTCAGCAGGTAGTTTTGCTAAACATCATATTCTTTCAGCAAATAGATGACATGTAATGCAATTCACCACAAACAATCTCTCATGTTGAGAGCTGAGCATTCTATAACACTATTAACTTGTAAGCATGCCAGCACATGAAAATTTACATGGAACATCATAATATTATAGTAGATTTTTGTAAGATGAAAACAATACCACATTCAAATAAATTTGAACTACTTTACTGGTATAGCAAAGTAGATAATAGGTAGGATTGCAGTTCAGTTAACACCGTTATACTGTGTTTATCTCTACCATATTGTAATTACAACCAGAAAAGAGAACATAGGCTGTGTAAGGATCCTGAGTGAAAGGCATATATTGAAGCTCTAAATGGTGATAAAATACCAATATTGAAAAATAATAATGTAGTGCTGCGCTTCCTTATTTTCATAAATAGATCTTCCCTTGCTTTTGTAAAAGTAGATGAGTATAGTGTAAATCCTTAATTAATGATAAATAGCTTTATGTAACTTTAAGAGATACTTTGAAAGAATCACATAGGAAGGAAAAAATATTTTTAGCTGCAGTTTCCCCCTTAGTCAAATATAGCTCTATGAAGGATTAAATGTCTCAACCTAGACTGATATTACTTGAGTATTTTATAGAAAAATGCTATTTAGTATTAAGCTTTAGGATTTGTGCTACAAAGGTGTTTAGAGCTATTATTTTGAGTGCACTGCAACTGTTGATATCATCTACCATTTAAAATTTGATATGGCCATTTAAATATCTAAAATGTTTAATCAAATACACATTTATATGTACACATATTATCTTTATATTTTTGGCTATGCTAGAACAGCAATAAATTGGAGAACAATCTTATTCCATCATTCACAATCTAATTTCACATCAAATCAAAGAATAAATATCATTAAATTCCAATACATTGAATTTCATAAAGCCTATCCAGAAATAAATCACCAAGCACTATTAAAAGATCACATCCTTATGTTAGAATAGGGAGGGAAGCAATGAACAAAACAACTATCTTGCCCACATGTTTCTCCCAAATTATAGAAACTATTTATGTTTTCCATATGAAACAAAAATAATAATTTTTACCTAAAGATTAGTTCTCACTTGTCTTTATTTATTTTTAAAAATTCAAATGAACGCTCAAAACCTCCAAAATAGTATTCAGGAAAATTGACAGGTTTAGAATACAATATACATCTTTCAGGATTTGGCTAATTTCAATTTTATAGGCCTCAGATTATAATGAATGGCTAAAAATTATTTCTGCCATTTACTCTGTAATAGACAAAAAAAAAAAAACATGAGAAGTATCTATAGCATTTAAGAAATCCTCAATCACTTGACTCTTATCAAGAGTCCTTGGAAAGCAAAAGTTTTAGGTCTTCCAATAAAATTACTTATGTTTAATAAAGATGCTTTGAAATATTTTCTAGGTTTTTTTCTATCCTGTATTAACACACAAATACCCATTAACTATGTCTGTATGTATATATGACATACATCTATATTCACTTTCCTATTCTGCAACTATTTATGTATCTCTCTTCCAGTCTATACTCCCTTACCACCCCTGTATTGACTTTTCTTTGTAAAATTAAACTACTCACATAGTAACATCTTTACCTCGCCACCACAAATCTACTAATCTACCTGCATATTACAAAGTCAGCTTTCCCTCTTATTGGAGTTTTATGTCCCTGCTCCTATAAAAAACTAACCTTCCTACTTGTGCTCTGAATTCTAACCCCTCCAGGCCTTTGCCATAATTATCTTTTCTCTTGCATTATCAGTTTACTCTTGTCTGCCAAAGTACTCTCATTAGTATATAAATATGCTTTAGTATCCTTTATGTAAATAAAAGAACAAAAAATCTCCACAGAGCTCTCTTGACCCTACATCTCCCTTCACCTACTGCCTTAGCTCCTTTTACTTGCTCCCTTTACAACACAACATTTTGATAGAATTGTTTATAGATTCTGCGTCTGCTTTTTACTTATCTCTCTTCTTAATCCACTTCAGTCAGGCTTTGATTTCATGGTTTCACAGAAACTGCCCTTTTTGAGGTCTTGAGAGAGACTGCTCTTGTCAATGTTGCCAAATCAAAGGGCAGTTTCATTGTTCTAATCCTGATTTTGGCTATGCTAGAACAGCAAAAAATTGGAGAGCAATCTTATTCCATCATTCACAATTTAATTTCACTTCAAATCCAAAGAATAAATATTGTTAAATTCCAATACATTGAATTACATTCATTTGGATTAAAAACCTTTAATCCAAACGACTAACTGCATTTCTTTCTTTCTTAACATTCCTTAGTTTCCTTTGTTGG